AGTTAACATGTAGTGACCATCAGATACTTACAGAAACAATAGGGGATTGTTTTACTTTAAAATACCACTAATATTGTTTGAGCCCTGAACATGTGCTCCAAAAAGCTTTCCAAGGTGATCTCACTGGACCCTCACATCAACCTTGGAGCGAACATTATTCTCATCGCCATGTCTGCTGAAGGGTGGTAGGTACTGGTAGCTGAACAACTTCCTAAGCCAGGCAGGCTTTCCAACCTGTGACTGGCCTCCATATTCAAGTCCAAAGATTAATGTACTTAACTTAACCTTTACCTGGAAAACTATTACAAAAGGCGTGTCCCCAGATCCTCTGCCTGCCTGGGATGGGACTAAGAAAGACACCTCTTTTAAGGGGTGCCAGAAAGCAAAGGCATGAAGTAAAGAAGTGTCACTACTCATGGACATCAAAGAATGACAAAGGGCACGTTTCAGAAAGGCCACTGGGGTATATTTTGATAGAGCAGCCAGTAGAATGTGACTGGTATGGACAGATAAACTTATTTTTAATTAAAATGTAATTTCCACTACAACCTGTAAAACATTAAGGACAGATAAGGCTGTTTTGTTCCTGTCCCATTAAAATGGACAAAGGTAGAAAACCAAAATGGTAACTGAACACCTCAATCATGAGTACACTGGTATTTGTCTGTCTATACCTACCTCAACACAGAAAAGGTACGGGAAAAATTCAGCTTGTAAGACACCCTCCACAGAGCTTAGTGGACAGGGGACAGGAAATTTCTCTGGGTGAGTGGAAAACGTGAAGACCCAGGATCTTATAGTACACTATTATAAACAACTGTTTACTCAGACCACATTAAACATAAAAATATTTTTCTTTCTTCAAAAATTAACTCTGGCTTATTGTAACATTTTGCTTTATAAATTTTAACTTTTTTACTTTTCACCTCTTTTGTAATAACATTTACCTTAAAATAAAAATATACTATTCAGACATACAAAAGTATTTTACTAGATGCGGTGGGGGGGGGCATGAAAACTCCTGAAAAACCAATTACTTTGTGTTGGAAAGTAAGCACCATTCTACTGACAATATGAAAAGGACCCTTACTAGGTGGAGGGGTACTGCACAGGTGAGGCCCAAACCAAACTGAGAAGGAAGCTACAGAAGAGAAATCTGAACACTGTAAACAGCAGTGTGGCCTTGACAAGAAAAACATGAGATTGAACCCAGGGCCCTCAGGGCCACTGAGCTACAGTCCCAATTCTTCTACTTTTTATTTGTGACAAGATCACACTACACTGCTAAGATACACAGGCTGGGTCAGAACTTGCGATCCTCTTGCCTCAGCCTCCCAGAGTGATGCCACTGCATGTGTGTGCTACCACGACCCACTCTTTCCATTCTTCTTCTCTAAACTCTTTTTTTCAATTAAAATTTTTCCTAACTTCTGAAACTTCTTTGTTAAAAACTAATACACTACAGTGTAAGCCAACACGGGGTCAGACTCATCAGCTCAGCATCAGGTCTTCCATCTCCATATCATGTCCCACCGGAAGGTCCTCGGGAGCAACAGCACATGTGGTGTCTCGCACGATAGTGATCGATGCCTGTCCTTATCTCTACTGTAGGGCCTGCCCATGGCTTTACTAAGATAGCACTTTTGTCGGATAGGTCCGTGGTGGTTTGCTTGGCTTGTGGCTTTTTTCCCCCTAGATTTGCTTGTAAGCAGATAATCCATTATGAGCATCGCTCTCTACTGATGAGTCTCTCTCAGAGTAGGGAAACGGACTTACTGAGGTCTGGAATAGCTTCTGCTAAGCCCCTCACTGTTGTTTATTGGGATCTTTAGTTTTTTCTGCAGTTTCTCTTTATCTTCCTACCTTTTCCTTTTCAGCTCCACTATCTCAGGGGCCACTGTCAGATATGCAATCATCACTCATCAGAAACTGCATCATGCAGCACACCACTGTATTTTTAAGCACCAAATTATTTTAGTTCTGGCCATTCTGGCCCATAAGTGACACATTTTCTGCTTGTTTCTGTCTGAGAAAGACATCTGCAGCAGCACAGAAATATGGAGTATGCTCTTTGCACTCTGCACATGGGTTTTCCTATATAAATGACTGGAACTGAGAGCTATATGAAGGACTGAAGAGTCGGAAGAAGCCAAAACAGGAAGTCACTCTGACACACAAACTACAACGTGACCTTTCTGGGTGCTGCCTGGAGAGGCCAAGACTGCTCTGAGCTCTGCCTGCACAGAAAGGCAGGCTCTTGATTCTTCTGCTCTTCTCTCTCTACTCTCTAGTCAGAAAAAGCAAACCCTTAAGCCTAATTATGCCAATTAGTTGCTCTCTTCCTTAGGAATTCGGTAGTGACTCAAAGTGGAGTCTGTCTGGACTGGTCCCGGGAGATCAGTGAAACCACTCAGGAGCTGTAAGCAGTTACCTCCCACAGGAGCACAGGAAGCCAGGCTATGCATGCAGCATGAAGCAGGTACACAGCAGCTGAGAGAGCAGAGTCCCTGGGCTCCTCCAGGTCTTCCCCTGCCTTCTCCATGCTACTTATGAGACCTGGCTCCATTCTCTAGCTTCTGAATGAGACACATCTACCTCCCTACCACAGATTATTTCATGCATTCTTAGACAGGTTCTTGCATCTTGAAGCAAAAGAGTCCAAATTAATATAACAGATAAACAGCATAGTGACCACTCTTTTCTCAGTTCATGAAAACTGCTGAAAAACCAATTACTTTGTGTTGGAAAGTAAGCACCATTCTACTGACGATATGAAAAGGACCCTTACTAGGTGGAGGGGTACTGTACAGGTGAGGCCCAAACCAAACTGAGAAGGAAGCCACAGAAGAGAAATCTGAACACTGTAAACAGCAGTGTGGCCTTGATAAGAAATACACAGTATTTCCTGAGTGCTTACCATGTGCCAGGCACTATTTATTATAAGTTAGTTGGAAATATTAACTCATTTACTCTTCATAAATGAGCACCTTCTCTAGAAACTAGGAAGCAACATTATCTCATTTACAGATGAGAAACGTGAGGCACAGAGAAATCAAACAGCTTACTCAGAGCCCTAAATATCTGTAACAGCATCCCACACTTCCAACCACTGCCTCTACACATCTCTGTTGAAGCAGAAGCAGAAGGGATAAAAAGCCCAAAGAAAGCAGCAAGGCTTTTTCATCTTAAATAGCTGAAGTGTGCTAAATATATATATAAATTATTCAGCAACCAGTGTCTTTCTTCAATAAGAAAAATACAAATGGGACCTTTGAGCCAGAAAATAAAGTAGTTCTAATGAGTAATCATTACTCTCAAATACTGCTTAGTAAATACGTACAGAAGTTACCGACAAGCAACTCCTGATTGGTTTTGTTTGTTTTTGTTTTTATTTGCAGGACAGTTAAGAAAATGATTAATTCTACTACTTACAGCTACAAACTACAACCAATTGAGGGAAAAGACAGAGAAATTTTTAGAAACAGAACTAAACACTCCAGTAACGCAATTTTATGCCATCTTCAAATGTCACCACATAACCCAAAAGCAAGAAAAGTATCTCTGCGCAGAACACAGCTAAGACTCTTTATTATTTCTAGTGAAAATGCTACAGGCAGGTAAGGGTTTAATTCAAAGGTGAGTGATAAGGAAAAATACTAGTGCTAAAAGGCCTAACTGATACACACTGCAGTAACACTGAGTACTGCTGAACATGGAACTTTTCCCTTGTGGTAGGAGAAACTTTAATTATTTAACAGTATCACAAAGAGTGAGGCTTGGTGGTACACACCTATAATCCCACCACTCTGGGAGGCTGAGGCAGGAGGACAGTAAGTTCGAGCCCAGCCTGGGCAACTTAATGACTTAGCGAGACTGTTTCAAAATTTAGAAACTAAAGTGGGGGTAGTGCTGGGGATGTAGTTTAAAGTGAAGTCCCTGCGTTCAATCCCCACTACTTTTTAAAAAATATTTTTCATGTCTACATTTACAAGACATTCAGGTTCTTATCTTTCTAACCCTAACTTCATCTTTTTACCCAAAGTATATGTAAAACAGTTTTATTTTTAATTTTTTCTGAAGGCATATAAGGGCACAACTGTACAGTTTCATGCCACTCGTGTTGATGCGTGAAGACTTCTTATAATCACAGCTTTAAATTTTCAGTGATAATTAACAAACTCACAAAAGTGAATATTCAAGGAATGTTTTTAGTACTTCTAGACTGTTTTCCTGTTGCTTGGCCCACAGATTTTGCCCCGAGCTGGGCTGTACTATCACAGCTGTTCTTTCACATAGTGCTTCCTTCCATCAAACACTAAGGGAAAAGCGAAGTAGAAACAAATTAAACTGTTTTTCAGTTAATTTTCATATTGATGCTAAAACAAAAAGATTCAACAATCAAGCATTGTTCTTACCTAGGGTCTCAAGTGATTTTAAAATTTTCCCTTCAGATAACTATATCCTATCAGAATTTTTTCCCTTGGATGAAAGACACAGGTTGGTCTGTTTCTGGTATCATCCAAAACAGGTAATTCAGGTCCATATTTCATTTAGACTACTAAACAGAACACTATATAAACACCAGACATATCACAAAGAAATGAAAATGCTTTCTAATTTATTTTTTACTCAACCACTAAAATCATCCCTAATTTGAAAATCATTTTTTAAGAAATCCAGCTAGAGTAAAAAGCATTAGGGTATGTTATGTTCATGTACCAACTCCTCACAATGAATGCAATCATTGTGTACTGTAAACATGTACTGATAAAAATTTTAAAGTAAATTTTTAAAAAGCTTACGTAAGTCAATAAAAAACCTCACTACTTTTCTTATCCTTTCTGAAACCGCCATGTAGTTTATCTTAAAACCATAACTGCTACATTTCTAAAGTAATTTGTAACTGAGCATTACCTCTTACCTAGGAATTGACGTAGCAATTCTTCTATTAAAAACAAAGTTTTGGAATCTAAGTAACAACAAGAGACTTGCAGACTTACCAGCTTCTCAATTTCCGATTCGAGATTCTGTATACAGTCAAGCTTTCTCTTTCGACAGCGCTGCGCTGCAATTCTGTTTTTACTTCTCCTGCGAATGTCATGGATACAATCCAGTTGTTCAGGGGTCAGTTTGTGCATTTTCAGCAAGGATTGAAAATCATTTCGAGACAGGGAAATTATTCGCTGTGCATTAAATGGTAGTTTCACCTAAAAGATGAAATAACTATTAGTAAGTGCTATTTTATAATTATACTTAAACCTGGGAAGAGAAAAAAATACCTCATTTTTATTAAAGTGCTTCATTTAGATTTTTTTAAATGGTCCCTATTCTCAGTTTTTACACAACTCACTATAATAAAAACTGACAGTTTGACTGGTATGTCTAGTTGTTTGAGAGAAAATATAGATAGAAGTTTATCTTTTGATAGAAGATAAACTGAGAAGCAAGTTTCAGCAGATCAGACATGATAATAAAATGGAATGATACTAAGATATTTTACTATTGCATGTTAATACCCTATAGTGCTGTTTCTTTCTGAAGCATTTTAATGTTGTTTCTCAACCCAAAATTAAATCCATTTTATTCTTTAACTGATGTAATTATGCTAGTAATTTCTAAAACACTTTAGAAAATTTCTCTATCAAAAAAATGGCAGCTTCATATATACAACTCATTTGAAAAGCTACACATTATACTTGCCAATGTAGGGAAAAAAATTTAACTCATTAATAGAGTCACTTTCAACCTACTTAATTTTGGCAAAAGTAAAAGATGACTTTTTCTTTTAAATAAGAAAATTACAGGAATTTAATTATATTATCAAAATCACAAACGGAATACTGGTCAGTTAGTCTGGCAACCTAATTAGCTTGCCTTTCAAGCCTATGGAAATTACTCATAGAAAACCTCCCAGTGATGTTATTTTTAATAACATTTTTTCATAGTATACTTTTAAATGCTTAATTTATCATGTCACACAAATGTAGATATAACCATATACACATATTATTTTTAAATTAAATCACCAATCCACTTTCAGCAAAAAAAGAAACAGCCTCTTTCAAACTTCTATCACCACAGAAAATGCTGAAGTATGAGATGTGGAAAAACTAGAATCCTCTACCAGTGGCAGTGAGAAAACAGTGCAACCACTACTATGGAAAACAGTATGGAGGCTTCTCAAAAAACGAAAAATAAAACTACCATTTGATCTAGCAACCCTATTCCAGGGCTGGCCTTGGCATCAATATCTCAGAAGGATATCTGCGCTTCTATGTTCACTGCAGCTCTGTTCACAGTAGCCAAAATATAGTAATAAACTGAACAGCAATAGAGAAAATGCGGTGTATGTCACAAAGGAATACTACTCGGCCTTATAACAAGAAAGAAATCTTGCACTGTGTTACAGTCTGGGTGACCCTGGAGGACATTATACTAACTAAAGTAGGCTCAAGAGAACAAACCCCACAGGATCCCAAGAATGAGGCTCGCAGACATGAGTTATTTAAATGGACAAATTCACACAAACAGAAGGGAATGGGGAGGGGTACAAGGGGCTGGAAGAGGAAGAATAAGGAGTTGCTTCAAGTTTTCTTACAAGGGTGATTTTCACATTATCACAATAAAAAATGCAAACAAAATGTAGTAAGATTTTTAAAAATAGTTAAAAGAAAGTACAAGTTCTAACTATAAAGAGAAAAGTCAACTTTAGAAAACTAAACAAAAACCCAATTTTTAAATATTCATGGTCACACAGGGCTGTTAATTCATGTCTCATCACCAGGCAACTCTAACTGGTGGTACCTGCTGACTGTCCCATCGAATGGTTGTTTATTAATTTTATTAGTAAAAAGACCAATAAAAATGTTAGATCCATTTATCCCACCAATGGTACAAACAAGCCACCACTGGTTCAGGATGGTGGGAACAAGTTTAAAAGAGAACACGCCCTCATATGGGATGTATTTTAATATGTTATAAAAAGCAGCTATAGCTACAAGAAACTCATTAAGATACATTTACTGAAGTAAAAGTTAATAAGGGCAGGGGTTAAAACAAAAAAAAAGCAATGGCCACGAAAAAACGGGTCCAAGAAAACTTTACGTTAGAAGTCACATGCCTACAATTACTCACTCACTGCCAAGCAATGACTCAGTGACTCATCCGGGTCCAGAGGTCCTGGTGGCAATGAGTAATGCTGAATTGTACGATACACCACACCAGGAGTTGTCATGTACAGAAGGAGGAATCGTCTTTCTTTTTCCTCTTGGGACAGGACATTTGTATAAACAGCCACACAGCCAGTGTATGAAGCTACGCCATGGCTGATATAAGCAAACCTACTTGAAATATATGAACCCAAAAGCCTTTCAAACTTCATCTCATTCTTCTGATGTTTATCACATGGCCTTATAACGAACAGTGTATGAGTTTTCTCCACTCTCCCTGAGCTTGCTCATACCCTAGTGGTGTAGTAGGAGCTGACTCAGTAAATCCTGATTAACAGTTACTAGCACGGTGAATCAAGAACACACCCTGCTCACCTCACATTCTTGTTCTCTGGCTGAGCAGGATTCACTGTCGCCTTCTGTGTCTGTCTCAGAGTCATCGCCCAAGCTAATCACACAAGCATAGGGACAAGGTTCCTGCTGTTCTGAAACGTAGCTGTCGTTTCCAATCTCCAAACTGCCCGATCGCCCTTCGGTACTCAGAGTGCTCATAAAAGGGCAGCTTACAGAATTTAATGTTGTGAAAGTCCTCTGACCCGGTTCTGGGCTCTCGCTGATCCTGATACCCAACCAGGGACACTCAGATCGTTTCTGTGAGTAGAGCTGTTCTGAGCCATCTTTGGCCACAGCAGGTGATAACTGCATTTGGCAGGGGGAGTCCGTGCTGCAAATGTCACTCCAGAAGCCTTTTGCTAGGTGTTCTGCTACTTCTCGTTCCACACTACTTCGGTCGCTGGAGGCGAGGCTGCCATCTTCCTTGGGGCCTGAGTCATCTTTCACATGTAAATCTTGACTTTCACTAAATGTTTTCTCTTCTGGAACATCTGTACCTGACAAAGGTTTTTCTGCTTTCACTGCTGAGCCTTGCATACCAGCAAAATCCAAGTCACTGTATTGGTCATATGTATGTAAAAGAGACAGAGAGTAGAGCCCATGAGGGTCCGCAGAACTGTGGGGGAAAGGAGTTACTTCTGTTTTTTCTGTTGGGACCTGAGAAGCAGGAACTTTGTTCTTTGTTGTCTCATGTTCCGTTGCTAACTTACTTTCTTCACATTTTAAAATCACCTGCAAATCTGCACAGTACTGGACGCCCCCTACACATTCATTTTCAGATGTCTCATTTGGCTGAACAGAAGTAGCCTGAATGTCTTTGATGCTGGGTTCCACAGTGCGGACTCGGTCAGTTCCAAACGCCTTCTGGAATTTTCTGTATTTGGGGCATAAGGATGGCAAAGCCAGAGCAGCATTCTTCTCCGTGCACATGGATTCGTATGTCTGGCTGGCACTGTCTTGTAGGGGAGATGATGTTTTTACATCTCCTTGGCACCTTTGGGGGTTACAATGAGGAGTCTGAACACTTTTATCATCCAGAAATTCCTCTACTTCATCAATTTCTAGGTCCTTCTGGTCCGCAAGTGAAAATTTAAGGTCTGTTTTTTGACAGTGTGATTGAAAGCACTTTTTTCTGGGGCATTCTTGCTGGTCTGCAGTGGAATCTAAAAACTTGTATTTGAGAAATTGAAAGCAGGATTCCTCAATATTGTGTACACTTAAAAATTCCACACACTTGCACACTTCATCCACATTGTCTTTACTTAAAATTAGTTTCGCAGTATAGGCAAACTGAATTAAAGGTTCAAATCCTTTAACCGTCACCTGTTAATATACGAAACAAAAATAACATTACTCGAGAGCATGAATAGATGTATAACATATTTGTAACAATTATAAAATAGGTATTTTAATTTGATAAGAAAAATATTTGTCTAGGAAATGTAAAATGAAGGGAGGCTACCCATGCATGCTTATCACACTCTACCCACTGGAAATACGCCCTCCATTTTATACAGTCCACTCTTAATCACACGTGAATTATGGTTTACTCCCATGATCTATAGGCAATTTTCCCATGACAGAGGAAATAAACCATCTATGAAGAGAAGTAGGATGGACTCCACATACAACCTACACACAGGAAGAGTCAGGTGTCTACTTCTAGGCTGGCTCCATATGGCCTTGCAACCCAACTGTTACAAACTACAAAAGTGGAATTTTTAAAGGTACAATTAAGTAAAGCATTTACAAAGAACTCCATTCATGCACACACAGTAAGTGGTAACTACAGCATCTCACACCAAGAATTTCTAATAAAATTTTTAAAGCCTCAGATTTTAAAGGTGATTAAGTGAAGTTCTAAGAATTCTGTCTCAGTACTGCCTCTGAACGGAGTCTATGAAACAAAGCACTCAGGTAGAAATCTGCACATAGAAGCTGCCACATGGAACCATTCCAGTGCAGAGCACTTCATCCTGGGTTACTTAACAAAATTACTTCTAAAACATTTAGTTCCTCCAACAGTGACCAAACATTTTTAATATTTGTGACTTTTTTAAAAGTCACGCTAAGCTCTGGAAATTTCACTAATTTTTAAATGGCTGAAATAAGAACAGTGATACTGCCAAATACTACACCGAGAAACTGCATCACTCACTTACTGCCAGTGGGAATGTGAAATGGCAGACACTTTGAGATAGTTTGGTACTTTCACAGGAAACAAAAATACAACTACCATGTGACCAGCAACAGCACTCTTCATCCCCCTTAAGAAATGAAAACTTATGTTCACACAAAAAGCTGCACACAAATGTTCACAGCCACTTCATTTGGTATAGTCAAAAACTCAAGTTAGCCTCATCTTCTTTAATATATAAAATGTTAAAAACAAGGTCCACAGATGCGTTAATACTATTAACTGCCACTCAGAAATAAAAAGGAACACACTACTGGCACACAACTCTGGATAAATCTCAAGGGAATTACGCTAAGTGGAAAAAAGTCAATCCGAAAAGGTTACATACCGTGTAAGTTCATTTACATAAAATTTTTCAAATGGCAAAACTTTAAAAAAGGACAGATCAGTGGTTGCTGACAATTAGGGGTAGAAGAAGAGGGGATGGGAGGAGGAAACGGTGAGCAGGAAGCAGACGTGGTTACAAAGGGCCAATGCCACAGAACATTAGGCATTGGAGCTGTTCGGTATTTTAACTGTGATGGAAAGAAGAATTTCTTCCACAGAGAATAAAATTGTAAAAACTTAATATATATAAACACAGAAATTAGTACAAGTAAAATGACAGCGGCAATCTGACTGATGTACGTAGGTTGTATCAACATCCATATCCAGCTGTAACATTATACAATGTTTTTCTCAAAATGTTATCTTTGGGGATATTGATCAAAGTGGGAACTCTGCATTATTTTATATAGCTGTATAAGTATTTATAATTATCAATATTTCAATTAAAAATTTTAAGTTAAAATAATCAAAATGGGCCTTTAAGCCAGTAGGTTATACAACAGCATTTTCAATCTGTCACTGTGATAAAAGACCTCAAATATTTGAAAACTTAAGACTTAAATTTGAAATTAGAATACATAACATACATACATGTATACATGTATCTTCTTCACAAACTCATGAATTAGACTTTGTGCTGATCAGAAAGTTTCACTCAGTAATGTGAAAATATGAGCCATAATAATTATATGTCTCCATTATGCTTTGTGTTCCTTAGGAAAAAAATCAATGGCTTTTGTCACTTTTGGTATTCCCTCCTTTTCTCCGATTCTTGCCACAAAAGTTACAATGTATTCATTGCCAAAACACAGCCAAAATTTCATGGAAGTCTGTAAAGCTAACAACAAGCTACACAGTGATTTAGTTTACAGTTTATCTAACAGTATCCAACAGGGATCACACAGACAGGGCATACACACAACGTTCCACACATTTTCTCCATATTCCCTTAATCACTTCTGGGTCCCAACTGCACAGACTTGACACTCTGGTAGCAGCTGTTAGCAACTAAACAAAGCAACGTGTCTGAGTAGGAGTCACCGTAACCAGCACTCCTCTGCCCAAGAGAGAGATCTCCTGGAGCCCAGACATTAACAAAGATGCAAATATTTATGAGCCTGAGCTCCACAGCAGCCTAGCAGATACACATACAACCAAAACTTTACAAATAGCCATTTCTTTCTCCTACCAAAAAGTAAAGACTCATTCAAGTAAGGAGAAAGAAAGAGAACATACATGGAGCACCTTCTTTTCATGGGAGGACATCTTGGGAAATGATTTATAGAACCCTAAACCTAGTCACAGCTGCCCAGCACAAGACAAGGAAGCGAGGGAGGGAAAGTCACACAACACCGTCTCTCCAAGCATGACTTTCCAAATGTCTAATGTAAAATGACTTGAGTCATTTTATTAAAAATAAACTAACAGTGGCTGCCAAGTTACTCCACTGCTCAATAAATATTAACATCAAAAGAAAAAATACGAGAAAAGGAAAAAATGGAAACAAAGTCTTTGTAAATAGGGAAAGGTGGAGGGGATGAAGGGAGGGCAGGGGACTAGGGGAAAAATAAGAACTAAGATACATCATGTAAAGGTACAAGATCCCAATGATGACTGTAACTGTATTATACACCTAAAATGTACCAATAAACTTAATTGAAAAAAACAGGGATCCAAGTCAGGCATGGTGGCGCACGCCTGTAATCTCAGCACTCAAGAGGCTGAGGCAGGAGGATCACTGTGAGTTTGAGACCAGCCTGGGCTACACAGTGAGTTCCAGGTCAGTCGCAACTACATAGTGAGACCCTGTCTCAAAAAAA